GAGAGAGAGAGAGAGAGAGAGAGAGAGAGAGAGAGAGAGAGAGAGAGAGGAGGCTCCCGACATCTGCTCAATGTTATCTTCGCGTTGCAGACTGGGCAGAGGAGGCGGTCGCCAAGGCGGAGATCCTGCGGCTAATCTACCAGGGTCGTTTTCTACACAGCAATGTCACACTCGGTGCTCTTGGGCTTCCCTTCGGAAAAACCACAGTGATGCATCTGGTGCCGCGGGAGAATCTTCCAGAGCCTAATTCTCAAGGTGAATCGGCGAAACCTCTTCACTTCCCCAGGCGAAACATTTTGCATAGAGTCCGTCCTCCTCTCCTTTGCTCGCGACGTTCGTCGCGCTAAGACACGCGTGAAATTTTCCTTAGACTTCCGCGAGATAAATTCCGTCAATCGGCCGTGTGTAATAATGTAAAACCGTCACTGATAAAGCGCTACAGAATCGTCTGTGAGGATCGGAAAAAAGTTTGTTCGCTTCCAATTCCCCGTATCCTGCCGTATTTTCGCATCCTTGTCTCTTTTCCCGGAGGAAAATAGCTCATCTGAATATAGGGGTTGATTCTTTGCAAGCCCGCAGCCCATGTATAAAAACATGTTGCGTATAAAACTCGGCTGCCCTTTTATAATATCCCGGCTGAACCTATGCACGTGTTATCGTTCTTGAAATCTGTTTACCCGTCGTCGATCTAAACTAAATCTCTCGCATCGGTACCGTGACGCGCTTGCGTAATTATTACGGTAAAATCTCGTTACGACGAGCCACGCCGGATCTCCAAATTGAATTTGTTATACCGAAAGTTCGTTATATCAAGCCGCGTATTAGACGGAGATTCGATCACGCTTCGTTACTGCGAAAATGTCGTTCCATCGGCATTCATTATAATATAATAACTGTATCGATTAGCTGTGTATTTTCCTGCTATTTGACAACGCGCACAGGTCGCTGGAAAACAGGACGATTTATTTTAAGAGTCCACTCCTAAGACGGATTTAGCCAACGACTTTCCTTTTTCACGGAGACGTTGCGAAACGTCGTTATTCGTTGCAAAAAACGGTCTTCCAAACGTCGCTATTGAATTTCTTCACGAGCAAGTTCTCAATCGAAATGTAGCACAACGTGGAAAAATGAAGTTATTGATAAACTGCCGGGACAATTAATCGCACTGAAATGAAATCCTTCCCGAGGGACTGCATCGTCAAATTGAAGAGTCGATTTGGAGAGTTCCGTGAATATCGTCCGCGATCTCTCAAGTGTTCACTTCACTACGCGAGTGTACCGCGAAACAAATTAGGCGCCGCAATCTATCGATTTAATAGACCACCGTGCAACACCGAATGATTATTCGCACGACCGTGTCGGATAATCGATCGCGCTAATTGTCAACGGTTCCTCAACAGTTTCGCAGCGTGTGTTACCGTCGCGCACGTTTAGAGACCAAAGTAAACACTGGTACCTAACTCTAGACATTCTTCTTGTTTTGATCTTTAAATACGAGCATTTAAACTTTTAACATATATGCACATATACGTTAAAAAAAAAATATATATATATATATATATATATATTCTACGTTGAAAGTTTAAATATTCATATTTTAAAACCAAGACAATAAAAATATCCAGAATTAGATACCAGTGTTATCAGTGTCTATACAATGTAGTAATGGTATCGGCACTTTTGAACATTTCGGCGATGAGAAATAATGTAATCTCCGTTACTGAAAACATTTGTCTGGACGTTCGGCTGTATTAAAACTTGGTTGCAGTAATTAAAAAAATTGTTGTAGGAGGAATGGAGCTAGTATTAACAAGAGAGAGGACAGTAAAGAGTAAGATGCTTTCCTTATCTAATTGTCTAATTAGTGGAGAGAAACGAAGAAGGAGAAGCAGTGATCACATGATCAATGTGTCTCCTCTTTCCTTTACCATATTTTACTCTCTCTTTCTTTTATTTCGCTTCCTTCATTGTCTCCTTCCGCCTCTCCACACACAGAAATTTATATCATTTCACTGTTAAAAAAGCACAATTACTCAGTTCACTTTCCTTTAATAAAATTGCCTATGATAAACTTATGATAGATTTGTGGGCGTATAAACTTAAGAAACACTTGAAACATTTACTCGAATGCAGTATGCATTTTCCTATGGTTTTCTGTACTTCTCAACAGATATGCGACGCGCATATCTGTTGTACAAAATTTCTGACCACAAAGTAATACTTCCTGAGAGAAACAAAATTATTATTTGCATATAAACTTGCGAAATAGTTGAGACGAGTAACATTTACTCGAATGCAGTATCTATTTTTCTGTGTAAGAGAGTACTGTGTGCGACAGCGAAAGCGTTTGACCTGGCATATCTCTCTGTCCCTCAATCATGTCATCAGCCGTCGTGCATAAAAGTGCGCAATATACACGCGCCATGAGTACACGCAAGAGTACACTTCCTGTTCCTACAGCCGAGTGTTTCTCACCTGGTGCACCTGGTTCACAACGAAAAATTCACTCACGTTTTTTCCGTGTGGTTGACATGTGATTTCGTGTCGCGCGACTCGTAACACAATTTCTTCCGCTCCCAGCGTTTTCTTCGACGCGTTAGGCATGGCGAGGCCTCCCTCGGACGGGAGAGCGCTCTCCCGATGAATTGTTAGCCGCGACTCTAAGAACGGTTACGCGCGCATGAATCGATTGAGAATTCAATGGCTTATTTTTACCTCTATCCTCCTTTACATTCCCAAGTTCCCGATTAAGTGAACTTTACCGCGCGCGGACGCGCGAGCCGCTCGTTTACTGATAATTATTAATCGATGCGACGGCAAGTGCGACGGATGGAACGAGCGGGTGGGTTAATAATCAGCTTTGATCGACGGAGAAGATAATCGTCCAAGAACGACGCATTGTGCAACTTCGCAACGGCGGCATGCCGCGCAACTTTGCGCAACGGGAGGTTTCCTCCTTTCTAAATCGCCCTTTTTTCCGTACGAGTCGTGCCATCGGCTGCGAGCTACGACGCGGAGTTTTCGCGGTGAATGCACTCGTGTATTTTTGTCCTCCGAATCTCGAGGGAATCGATATATCTAAATGTTTCTTCTCGAGAAAAATTCTTCTCACGTTTGTCTTCACATTTTTACATTGCGTCCAATTATTCGTTGATTTCTTACGTTTCTTCCGTTTAACGTATTGATATCATTGAGTGAGGTAACGGCGATATATTTTCTCCGCTTAAATCGTCGATCATCCCGAAAACGCGAAATTATGTTGGTTCATCTTTATCCGCGATGTATGCACTGAAAGAAAAAAACTGGTTGATTTAACTAAAATTAGAATTATTCGAGCATATTTTTCTGTCATTCCAACACGAAAATGGTAGTAACATGCTCATAAAGTTATTATCATTAACATATAACAGTAATTAATTAAAAAAAAAATAATTTTCTTGACTATAATTTATAATAATTATTTCTCCATGTATAGTTACAAACATTTTTTTCTCAGTGTGAAACCGTCGCGATTACGCGCATATGTGTGATTTCACCTTGATTGATAACATTAATCGACAAATCTTGACGTTTTTTGCTCCATGAATGTGAGTAGTCATTTCCGACTATGTATTTTTGACTTCTAAACACGAAACCGTTGTCCAAATTTTTGACAATCACGTCGCAATTTGAAGAAAAAATGGCGTAAAGATAAATGGACCAAAAGTGACGATTTTGAGGAATTTTATGACGTTGGAGCAGTGACAGAAACTTTTTTTCTTCATTTCAATACTATAATGAAGTATTAATTTGAAACTTTCAGCCGTTTTTGAGTCATTTTACTCGATTTCTCTCGAAATTGTGATGTAACAGCCAAATTTGGACAACGGGGGGGGTTCGTGTTCAGCGGCCAAAAATACGTCGGAAATAATTCGTGAGACAAAATGTTGTCAGACAGTGTAATTATAACTCACTCATCCCACTCTTCCTCGCATAATCCTTTTTGTAGGTATCCTACCTAACGGTGAGCACATGCATATTATGCCCGAAGATCCCGAAAACTATGATTTGAGCTAAAAGAGATACCTATCCGCATGTCAACGTGAGTCCTTTTCACTTGTTCCAATGACAATACGGTTTCAGCAGTAACAACGAACGAATATCCTAAAGTAACCCGTTCTCTTCGTGAACGGAAGGTACGCCAAAACACTCTTGACACGGTCGCGAAATGTCGTCCAGCCAGAATCTCGCGAATCAACGACGAAACAGTTGATCGCGTTTTCGCTCGCTGTCGGCCGTGCCGAGTGAACTAACGACATTGCATTCCTTGTTACAGATCAGAGGCAAAAAAGTAAAGGTGGCGGGAGTAGTTGCTGCTCGGCTTCCTGCTGCATACTTTAAGATCGCCGGCAGCGTGCGTCGCCGACGTGTGAAGGTTTTGTCGTGATGGATGGGCGTGCAGCATGGGCGAGCGCGTCCTGTCGCGGGCTCACCCAGGCTGGGCCATGGTTTCTAAGGTTTCGTGCTGATGTATAATCGTTAGTGGCTGAGCTGGTGAGCAGTGTAGCGGGAAGCCGGATTACACAGTGTCGCGGGAGTGGTCGCGCTCTCCTGCTCGCGACCTTCGTCCGACGGTCCCGCGATGCAGATCCCGCTGCAACGGCAACAACAACGTCGCCTGCATCTCGTCATCATCGTCGTCATCGTCGACGGGGAAAACGCATTGTCGCGACATCGGTTGGGGATATTTGGTTCGACTCGGTACGATGCGGTCAGGCGGTAACAACGCACGATCCATGACACGCAGCCGTCGAGGAAAATCTGCTCGGGACGGAGCTGGACGAGGTGTAGTGTTTCTCTATCGCGATCGAAACGATAGTTCGCTTCACCGATGGGCAGGCAAACCGACCGACTTGCGCCGATAGCGATGGTTAACCAACTTTTCGCTTGCGACCTTGGTTTGCGAATCATGTGACGATCTTGTCGCGGCGTACAGGCGTACAGACGAGAAAGATTCGATTAGTCATTGATTTCAGTCGGTTACTTCAACCGGATTTCGATCCAGCCAGCAGCGGTCTTTCTGTGTCCGTTTTGACTCGTGCTTGTAATATTACTTGCAGTAATGAGAGAGAAAGTGAGAAAGAGAGGAGCGAATATGTAATACGATCGTTCGTGAGAATAGTTTATCGTCTTAACAAATTTTCGATTTATTAAAGAATTTAACTTAATTAACGTTGCTAATTAACTCATTTTGCGTGGTGCGGTTTCTCTTGTGCATTACACAGTGTCGATTATGATGCAAAAGTGGAACGACTATAACTTTAGTTGGGTTCCTCTTTGTTCCTTCTTAATCTGTAGTTTAAATCTCGCTATAAGAAAAGAAAAAAAAAAGATAATTTGATATTATAATTGAATTTTCTGCAATTGGCGATCTCCTTCGCGGATAAAGAATGTAGCTGTAATGTCAAAGGAGCGAGAAGAGGAATTAATCTAATTAATTGCAATTTACTCTTAGTTAAAACTAGGTTTCGATCGCGAGCGATCGTTTACTCGTCCCGAGATTAAGAGAAAATAAAGTCGGAAGATTTGATCCACATTATCTCAACTTGATTCTCCATCTAAAGGCATAACTGAATGATCAATAATTTTGAGGAAAGGCGAGACACCAGTTGATTTTAACTATGAAATTTTAGTTAATCGCAATTTTAGCGCTACTCGGTGTCGGCGCAATCGGTCTGAAGGAAACCACGGAAAGGCGAACGATTACGGCGCGTAATCGTCGTGCTTCCGCGGATTCTCGTGATCTCGTTTCGTTGTTCTCACTCGGTGGCGTGAAGCCGGAGCAGCGACGATAAGACGAATGAAATTTCGGCGAGAATGTCGGATACAACAGGATTGCCCAGGTTCTAAATGGAAATGCATCCTGGAACGGCGCTACAATGCTTAGAAACTCAACCACTGTCCCAATACTGCAGCGTTATAATAATTATTGTAGATGGGATCGCGTGTGCGTGCTTGCGTAAGTGCGAATGTGTTGCATTAGTTGAGAAAAAGAGGGAGAGAGAGTGCGCGCGAATGTCTGAGAGAATAAAAGAGAAAGACAGAGCGAAAGAATAGAAGAGAGAAAATAAGATTTATGTTATGATATGCAGGTAACGAATATATATACGTACATGCATGCATACATATATATCATATGTATACATGATGTGTGTGTGTGTGTGTGTGTATGTGTGTGCGTGCGTGCGTGCGTGTGTGTGTGTGTGTGTGTTTATACAGAGTGTTCCTAGCCAATACTGTCTTTCTGCTGACGCATACGCGTGTGTTAAGTACTTGAATTATGAATGAGAAGAACATATAGCGTAATGATGAAAAATTTCTCGATGAAGACAAGTCGTCGCGAGAGGAGTGTTATTAAATACAACATGACTCGCGATACGTTCTTAAATTTTGCTCGCGTCAGCTACTCGCGTAGCGTTTATCGTTAAACGCGGTTGGCCAGAAACACTCTGCATATACAGGATGTTAAAGGAAGAGCATGCGACTTCTCGAGAGCGTATCCTTGGGAAAATTTGTTTATTGGATTCATAGAAATCTGCCTCGATGTTGTCTTAAATTTTAACATTACACGTCCCTAAATTCTTTCGCTACAATCGCTTTCAAATCGACTTAACCAGACGAATAAACACGCAAAATTAACTGCATTATGCTCGAGAATAAGCCTTTTATTTTTAGATTTAAGGACTATCGTCTTTAGAGATGTGCTGCTAAAAAACCTATGAAAATTAAAGCGAGAATCCTCGATCAATGCATTTCCACGACGACATTGGCTCCAAACCGAGAAAGGAAGACAGTTCACTTGAAATCAAACGAGCGTCACATTTCGCGTTCTCACAATCTCTTCTTTTAACAACCTGTACACGCTATTATCGAAGTCGCGCGTGCACTTGAAACGTGTGTTCTGTCGCGTTTCAATGCGCACGCACGACAGTATAAGACACGTTGACACAGCAGTTAAGCTCTCATATGATAGACTTTATTATGAATTTAAAGAAGTAATATTATGATGTCACTTTGAGAGTTTAGTATTCTGAATATAAGATTATGTAAAAGAGATAGAGAGAGAGAGAGAGAGAGAGAGAGAGAGAGAGAGAGAGAGAGAGAGAGAGAGAGAGAGA